AAATTCCACAGTTAACTATTCTTCAAATATCCAAGTAGTGGAACAGTGTACATTACAATGTGCAATTTCGTGAGTGGTGGTTCGAAGGGTTGAAGCACCACTGTCCTGAAAGGTACTCCTCTCTTTCTGTCTGTCCTCTTCTCCCTCTCCTGCGCCGGCACTCTCTCCCACCCCCTTTCTCTCGATAGGTCAGCGAACGAACGTTGAACGACCGTTATCCAAACTTCCTCCACGCGCGGGAATCTCGCTTGTTTGTTTTCGATCGCCGGCCAGCAGAATCGTTCAAACGATATCCGCGCGCGCGCGCGTAAACATGTATGTCGGTCACTTGGCGAGGAACGCGTAAATTCGGAGTTAGTCGGATCGGTGGCATTCTAACATGGCGGAACGACTGTCTCCTATGGGTTTTCATGCGAATAGTTAACCCTTTGCGCTCGAAAGTTTTTCACTAGAAATATTCAACATTTTCTGAGATACAGACGACATTGCTCGAAACTGATTTAATAATAATTCAATAACAATACAAAGTTTCATTTAAAATACTAAATATTCAACTTCATTGTTTTGCTGCACCAAATCAAGTGGTGACTGACAGTCGCCTGTCGAGTGCAAAGAGTTAATACGTTCCAGGTCAAGGAAATTTCGATTTTATTTTGTAGAACTGTACTGATTTTTAAAAGTATTAAGTTGTATTCAGGTTTTTGATATTCTTATGTATTTTCACATTGGTTCTTTTTTCACTGGTTTGTAAGGTATACCACTGTGACCACGTGTCCCTTAAAAATAGTTTCTTATAGAAAATGTGTAGATAACCAAGACGCCGTTCCGTTTCTCGCGTGCTGTAACGGATAAACTCGAGGATATCGATCGAAGCTAGGATTAAATCCTCGGGGTGTTCGCAGGATCCTCGTCGGCGATCTTCGCGAACGCCGGCCAGCTAATCCGGCGCCTCTCGTCCGCGCCTGGGATTCGATTCGCTCTTAAATTAAGAGATGAAATTACTCACGGGAAATCCGGCGGGCTGCAGGTATCCTCTTCCGCGGCGCCTGTAACAATATCTCGCCGAAGCTGTCCCGGAGAAAGCGTGCGACGCACGATTCGCTTTCTCAGCTTTTCCTCGGATAATAATCGTTTTCTCAGCTTCTCCCGCGACGGCGACCATTTTCTAACCGTCCCGTCGGCTTCTTTTTTTTAACGCGACTACCTTCTGACTATCCTTCAGCTTTCTTTTACTAATCGTAACCGTTTCCTCACCTTTTTTCCAACGGCGATAACCGTTTTCTCGGATTTTACTCCAGTAATAACCGTCTTTATAACCGTTTCCTCGGAGTTTTTACGGCGATAACCATACTCTAACTGTTTCCTCAATTTTCCTTCTAAACAACCGTCCTTTAACCTTCTTTCTTTGATAATGATGATATTTTTTAGGTATCGCTCTGATAATTATTCTTTTTCAACGGTTTCCTCGTTACTCTGGTAATGACCCTATTTTAACTGAAATTTTCGAAGTAGTAACCATATTCTGTTTCCTCAATTTGCCTTATAACAACAGCCTTCTAAACGTTTATTAACTTTTTCTTTAATAATGATCACTTTTTGACCATTTCTTAACTATTTCCCCAGATTTTCTCCTAACAACCCTCGTTTAACCCTTTGCGGAGGAAGATTTCTTGAAATATACAGAAGCAGATGAAACTGAATTACCTATCAACTGTTTGATTAATATAAAAAAAGTTTGAGTAACTAAATCATTCGGTCGCGACTTACTCTTCAAATACGAAAATTTCATGTCGAAACCTCTCGTCCGCAAAGGGTTAAATCTTTCCTCAGATTCTCTTGATAACGACGATTCCCTAAAAGTCCCGTCAACTTTCCTACAATAACAACTTTATTCTAACCCTTTCGCAGATATTTTCCTACTAATAACCATTTCCGACCGGTTTCTCGCCGATGACAACCATTCTCTCACTTCTTCCTTAAAAAATATCTATTTCTCCACTTGTACCTTCAACAATAATCATTTCCCAATCATTTCCTGAGCTTTCCCCGATAACAACCGTCCCTGAAACGTTTCCTCGGCCGACAATGAGCAATCCCCGTCGAAATCTGGATCGACCGCGGCCAACGTAGCCGCTCGTCGCGCGGAAGACGTAAATCGGCCGCGCTGATCCGCGATAACCCTCGGTGAAACGTCGGTAATTTCGGCGACGCGGCGTCGAATAAATTCCGAGTTATCCGACAGAAAGATGGAAATCACTCCTATCTCGTCGAGTATGAAATCATCGTGCTCCAGCACGGACGCTGGCGGAATCGCGAATTTCGTTCGGTTATCTAGAATCCGGCGGAAATTCGAAAACGAAGAAATCTTCGCGTTAATTGCCCCGCAATTTTCGCGATAATGATAATCCTTAGAGATCGAAGGTGTACAAAGTATCGGGAATAATTCTTGGGTAAAAGAACACATTCGAATGTTGTATGTGTGTATGTATATATATATATATAATATATATGTATATCTTTCTCTCTATTCGTCGATCTTTCAGTCGCGCTTACGCACTAGATTGTCAATATGCAAATTGTTCAGTGGAAAATTATTGATTACTCTATTGGTATGCTATATACACAGTGAAACGTTAACCCTAACGTCAGAGAAAGACACGAGACGGTGGACATCTCGATATTTCCCAGCCGAAACCCGATTTAGCCTATTTTATCGAATAGGTGCTTATATTATTCCGCGAACTCGTCGGATCGTGTAACCCTTCACCTTATAACAGCGAGACCGCCGAGTGCTCGACATTTCGAACTGGATTTAACGGATGCTTTCTTTAATTCGCAATTGCTTTCGCAATGAGAATGCTTCGTCGATGATTATCGAACTGTTCCTATTATTATCTTATTTTCTATTCTGTCCCTGTTTTCCAGCGGCATCCTCGGAACGAATAAGGCAAAGGGTTAGTGTTAGACAGGCACGCGTAGCTCGACACACTTGTCATTGCTCGTTCCTCGCGACGAGTGTCGTGGACAATGACGAAGAACAATAGCGAAAGAAATCGCAAGAGTCGCAAGCATGCGTGCTACCTTCGCAACAGTTCGAACGTTTCGGATCGTTCGCGGCTCTGCTCCATCCTTATCAATGCGAGTTGCTAAGGTTTCATCCGCTTATTCGGTTTAAACCCTTAACAGTCGAATGATGTTTTACTAACGTGTTCTATTAAAACGTTCGCTATCGACAGACGTTGCAACTGTTACATGTTTCGCTTGAAGAGAATGGAATTGGTACAGATGTTTAGAGTCACAAAATATGGCAGTATATTTGGGAACACAATTTTCAGATATTTTCTCAATATCTTTACCTTTGGATTCAAGGGAATATTATCGGATCTTGTCGGTTTTGGAAAAACGTAAAAATTCCTTATTCTACGTAAACTCCGCACTGGACTTCATAGTAAAAAGTAAATATTTATTTCAAACTTAAAAGAATCCAGTAGTTAGACATGACAGTTGCTTTGCAAAATTACTGAGGAAACTGATTTAGTAATACGCGAATTGAATCATGAGTATTGTAATCTCTGAATTCTTAGAGTTCCTATGGAAACATTTGAAAATGTCAGTTTGCTTGGTAGATCTACTGAACAGAAATTCGGAGTGCAAAGGTTAACAAATAAATATAGAAAAAATGATTAAAACAGGTAGAGGTTGCAATAAGATAGAATGTCGAGTCCGACTCGACTGCTAAGGGTTAAGGGTCAGCGTCTCTGTTCGAGCCGCGATCGCGAGGGATCTCGTAAGGCCGCAGAGCCGCGACCGTGTCCGTTCGATCGCGCGGCGAAGCTTCCCTTTCACACAATAGGCTCTAACGAGAGTCACTCGCACACGCGTCAGCCCTCTCGCGCGAACCACTCTCATTCGTCAGGCCGTGTTCCAACTCGCACTAATTAGGTCGACGCTGTTTTCGAACGATCTCGAGTAGCAACCGTCGCGAGACCGGTGTGAACCGAGAATGCGGGCCGATCGTAAGTGTTCGGAGATACTCGTGAGCGCGGGGCGACGGTGGAAATGCAAGTTGGAACGCGGTCTCTTCTACAAACTAAGAATCCACGGCTGCATTCTTCTGGAACGACGCAACGAACTTCGATCGCCCGAATGAACTTGCTCGGATGAACCCTTTGCACTTGAGAGGCTACTGTCGGTCACCATAGCGAACTTAGAATAATATTCAACCAAGCACCGGCCATTGATACGCGAGATATTCGAAGCAGCTTTGCTCCTTAACCCCTTGCCTTCTAATAATTTAAAGTTTGCTCGAACCTTTCGAATTCAAATTAAATTCTACTATTAAAATTGTTACACTCCGTAGTAAAGATTGATATAGAATACGCCTATAATTTTATTTCAATAAATCAATGACAGAAGTAAATCGTACAGCAAGGGGTTAATCGATGTATCTCCATTACGATTTTAAAGAATGTAATCTGAATATTTTGAATATTTCGAAAGCTTCCGAGTGCAAAGGGTGAACCTGCTTGTAGAACCTCGCGAAGATCAACAATATAGACTGAGCCGGTCGAAGAGTGAACGCAAGTAGTTCACCGAAGATGCAACGGAAAGATGGAAAGGCAAGAACCACGGGAACGAACCGCGTTCGTCGCTGCTCGCGCGTCTCTACAATAACGAAAGCCGCACCGATATTCGTTCCATCGAGCAGACGGACGGAGCTCGGCGGTACCGAGCACCGCGTTCTCACGCGTGACGATGCCCCGTGATCGGCGGCAGGTTCCGAAAGAATGCAGGTATCGTGGCGGGTGTGCGTGGCGGAACGCTATACAGGCCACCGGTTCTTAATTCGAGCGCAGGTACATTTGGTAGTGCTAGAAGTGGGAGTCCATCGATCGGTAAACCACCGATGAGCGTCGTGTCGCACAGAGTCGGCCAGTCGACGGTTTGGAACACGGCCAGTCAGTTCCTGAACACACCACCGGTCTTGAGGAGCCACTCACCTGTAGCCCTGTTACAAGCCTCCTTGGTCTCGTTCAGCTCCTGCCTCTTAACCATCGCGTCCGCGATGGCGGCCGCCGGCTCCTGCTGGCCAATCATCATCGACTGTGTCGCGATCGTCGGTGTCGTCGCCTCCGTCTCTGTCGCCTTCGACTCCCGTGAGTCCGGCATGCCCGAGATCCCGGTCGTCCCTGCGGCGATGCCTGTGCCAATCGCCGCGCGACCGCTGCTCCGTGGATCGGGAACGCCTCCAGGCCGTTCCGCCGGTAGGATTGGTGGCAACCCTCGCCCCGAGTCCGCCATCGAGCCGCGCTGCTGTTCCTGGAGCAAGCAGGCGCTCGACAACAGGTCCCACTGGCGTAGCTTCTCTCGATCTAGCTCGAACGGGCCCGCGGACGTGGCGCTGGCGGCCGTCTCGGCCTCGGCTGTCGTCGCGCCAGTGGCCGCGGACTCCTCCGTCTCCACCTCCGAGATCAGCCGAATCGGGGGAAGGTTGCCATCCTCTAAAAAATGATTCGCCTCCGCGGACGTGGCCTTCCGGTACGCCTCGTTGCGCGCGTCCCACACGTACCCGCCCGCGTGGATCCTGTCCATCGACAGGCTCTCGTACGATAAATCGTCCATCGCGCCGGATTGCTCCTTGTTCCCGCGCCGCTTCACTCGCGGCCGCTCGCAGTCCTCCAGGCAGTTCTCCCGGCGGAGAATCACGCTGTCGTTCACGTAGGTCGCTCCTCGGGTGATCTTGTTCCTGCCTTTCGAGTCCGTCGATGATCCCGATGGTCTTCTGGGGCTGTCCAGGTTGTCTAGGGACCTGGCGTTCCTCAGGCTGACTCTGCGCAGGCTCTCCCTCCAGAGCGAGTCCTGCTCCCAGGGATCCTCCACGGCGAAGTGGTCGTCCGACGTGGAGACCATGGTCCCGTCGACTATGTTCCTCGGCGTCTCCTCCGCTTGACTCGTTTGCGCGCTGGTCAGCGTCCTGTTGCTTCGGTTCCGTTGCTCCACTAGATTCTGCAGACCAACGTCGTCCAGCAGGCCCTCTAATGATCTCGACCTGCGGTGCGAGGTCTGCGCCACTTGGATCAGCTCGAATATCTCGCGATTGTTCTGGTCGTTCGATTTGTCTCTTAGTCCATGGGGGTAGAGGTTCCTGGTGTTGATCTCCGCGGTGGAGATGTCGGGCAGCGGGTCCGTGGACTTGACCCGCCTCAGAGTGTCGGCTTCGTAGAAGTTCTTCTTGTCCACCAGGTCCGCCTTGTTGTCGCCCAGCAGCTGGCAGGTGGTCTTCCTCAGCTCGGCCGCGATGCGCCTGGCTTCGTCGATGTCCTCCACCTGGATCTGCCTGGGCATCTGCCTGGCGATGGGGTTCACTATGCGGCCGATGTCGTTGCGCTTGTTCAGCGCGGACGCGTCGTCCCTCTGATTGTTCAGCTGCGGCAGCCGCGACGTGTGTCCGATGGGCTTCGACGCCTCAGCCTCCGACTGGCTGACGCTCGCCTGGAGGTCGGAGTAGTAGTAAGGAGCGCCGGACTGCTCGCTCTGAGGACGAGCCACCTCGCCGGGCAGGTAGGACTGAGGCGTCGGACTGGCCTTCACCGTGGACGAGCTGGGATAGTGACTGGAGTCTTGGCTGGAAGAGGACCTGTGGTTCGATATCATCGAGTAGCGGGCCGAGTCCTGGCTGGCTGACCGGGAGTGACTCTGGAACCGCTGCTCGGAGTACGGGCTGGCGGTGCGCAGCACGTTCGCCAGCAGGTTGCCCGCGTGGCCGCCCAGACCGGTCGACCCCGTGGGCGAGTGCATCGAGGACTGCGCGCTGGCGGGTCGCTGGCAAGCCATCGACGTGGACACCGAAGCCACGCCGGAAGCCATCGAGTAGCTGGAGTCTCTGCTGTGCGACGCCGACAGGAGGTTGTTCTGCGAGCTCCTGCGCAGTCTGTGCGAGTCGCGGGTCTGCTCGTTATCGGAGCGTATCGCGGGGGAGCACCTCAGCGGCGAGAAGCTCACGATGTTCTCGTAATGCGCGTCGCCGGTGAACGACTGCGAGTGCTGATGGGACGGAGGGACAACGTCGCAGACTCTCATGGACGGCAGGCTGCTGGCCGAACCCATTTTCCCGGCGTCGTAGCGCAGCGACTGCTCGAGCCCGGACAGACCCAGGTTCACGCGCCTGGCTAGGTCGTGGCAGGTGGTCTTCTGCAGCTTGTCCACCACCATCATGTTCTCGTTGAACCCGTAGATGCTGTTGTAGCTCAGATCCTTCGCGTACAGGTCGACGTTGAAAGCGTCCCGAGCCTGCAGCTCCTCCAAGTACTGGTCCAGGTCGATACTAGCTCCATCGAAGCGACTGCCTAGAGACTCCAGCTCGTCCAGGCTGTCCAGAACCTCGCACACCTCGCTGACCGGTCTGGTCTTCAGCTGCCTATGCCTGGCCTCTTCCTCCGGCGTCCTGAGGTCCACGGAGTCGCTTCCCGACGCGCTCTCCAGTGAAATCCGGCTGTCCCTGAAGGTCGAGCTGATCGTCGCGTCCGAGAACCTGGACGGGCTCCTGTGCGTCTCCACCTGCCCCATGGGCTTGTTCCAGGACTTCGGGGAGTCCCTGCTGGAGCCGTTGTCCCTGGTCACCGCGACCTGCGGCGACACTTTCTTAATCTCCAGCGAGTCCTGCATGTCCAGCGAGTCCAGGTCGTCAAGAGGAGGCGGGGACGTGGGGATGGGCGGCGGGGACACCAGCTCGCTGTCCGACGAGTCGTGCAGCTCGGCGATCATGGTTCCTCGACTGGCGCCCAGGTAGTAAGAGGCTGGCCTGAAGGTGTCCGACAAGCTGAATCTAGGGTGCCTGGGCGCGTCTATGGAGTCCAGGTCCTTCGAAGACTCGTCATCGGCATCTGAGCTGTCGGTTTTCAAGGCGGACAGTATGTCCGGTAGATCAGTCCTCGAGTGAACTTGCTCGTCGTGAGATGTCCTCTTCTTCGGCGACGCCTTGCCGCTATCCTCCTCCTTCTCCGACAGCTGGCTGACCTCCATGTAGACCGGCTCCATCTTGCTGTCGGACACGCACACGAACTCGTAGTGGGGCGTGTCCAGCGTGGAGTAGTCTCCCGAGTCCAGCTTCCTGTTGTCCTCATCAGGCGCCAGCAGCGACCTGGCGATCCCGTTCTGCGCCATCTCCACGTAGGAGCTCTCCTCGTGCGCCAGGTTCGCGAACAGGCTCTCCATCATCTTCGGGTTGGGCCGGTCGTCGCAGTTCGGGTCCAGGATGGCCTTCCGCGGCGACATCGGCAGGTAATGCTCCTCCGGGCACAGCTCCTCTTGCTTCATCGTGGGACTAGGCGTCCCGCTTTCCCCGGAGAACTGGTCGCCGTGAGTTAACAGGGACTCGGTGACGCTCAACCTAGTGCAGCTCGGGTTCATGTCCAGGTCCTCCTGGGGAATCGCCTCCTCGATGCTCTCCCTGGAAGACGGCCGCTTCCGTCTGAACGAGTCTTTCTTCTTCACGGTGTCCGTGTAGAAGCTGTCCTCGTCGAGCTCCGGCGCCAGCCGCTCCAGCTCGTTCATCGCCTCGTCCCTAGCCTCCTCGCTCTTGTCCCTCTGATCCAGGTCGCTGCCGGTGTCGTACAGCAGCGCCTCCGAGTCGCTGAAGACGCCCCGGTGCTTCACCTCCTGCCGCCTGTTGTACTCCTGCCTCTGCACCTGCTGCGACTTTCTCTCGAAGTCGGCGAGCAGGTCCTTCACCGACTTGTTGCTGTCCGTGGACGGCTGCTTCGCGTGCCCGTCCTTCACGCCTCTGATCAGCCTGGCCTCCTGCGACTCCTGCTCGCCCAGCGCGAAGCTGCGGATGCAGGGCGACGGCTTCTTCGCCGAGTCCAGCCTGGACACGTGGGCCTCCGTCGTCTGCAGCGGCGACACCTTCAGCGGCTCCTGCATCGCCAGCACCTCCTTCACCGGCGTGGAGCCGTGCGAGCCGTCCATGCTCAGCTCGAAGGACCTGATCCTGCACTGCACCAGGTTCATCGACTCCGGCATCTCCTGCTCTTTGGATTCCAGCTCTTCCTTCGGTCTGATGTACTGGTAGGAGAACTCTTTGATCACTTTGCTCTCGTCGATGTTCGAGTCCCAGTCGTCTCGCTCTTTCTTCGTGGTCCACTGAACGGTTTTCTGCGACGGCCACGTGTCGGTCGCGTATCCGGTCGTCGGAGGCTTCGCGGGTTGCTCGGTCGCCGCGCCGTACGCCGTGGAGGTCTTCAGGATCCCGGACGGTTTCTTCTTGTACCTGTCCTCCTCGAACGAAACGTCCAGCTGCTCTTGCTCGCTTCTCGCCGGTCTCGGCTCGGCGAGCGGATACGACGGGGAACGGTCAGCCCGACGCGCGGAGACGAAGCTGACCTCCTCGTAGCCGGCGTCCGGCGGTATCCCGCCTAAGCTTGGCAGCAGGGGACCGGAAGGACTCTGTCTCCGTTCGTTAGACGCGCGGGCTGCGCCCTGATTGTGGCGGCCGGTTGTTCCGGGGACGGCGTCTTGTCCCGGAATCCCCGATGAACGATTGTCCCCGACCTGCCGGGGGCTCCTTCCTGCATGCGAGGGTCTGCGCGTGCGCTTCCTCCGGACATCTCCCAGCTCTGATCCGTCCGTTACAGAACAAACACACGAGGTACGTTTCGTTAACTCACGAGACCTGGCGATTAATTACAAGAACCCAGACCATTCCGGCGCAGACCAAGCCAAGGGTTCCGGCGAGCTGCGATCGACCTTGGATCGGTGGACCGCGGACCTTGGAGGATACGCGATCGAATCTTCGGATGCTCGAATTAACCCTAATCGTACCACGGGTTTCTATAACGAATCATAGTGCGACTCTCGGTCAATAAAAAAATTTAAGCAAAAAGTTCAAATGTGACACATCGTGGTTCGATTAGGGTTGACACTAGGTTCACGGATCGCGTCAATTTATCCGATAAAAATCGCAAAGATAAATGAACGAACACCAATTCTTCCAAGAACAATGCAAACAGTAAACGTCCGTAAACCCAGTGTTAAATATTCTACTTCCCGTCTACTAAACAAAATCGTATAAGTTTCGGTTTGTTAAACAGAATACTAAGAATTTTAAATTTCCACGATCCAAATGCAAGATGACTCTCGTTTCGCGACCGCGCTACATCGAAAATCGAACTCCTCCCCAACGATCCAAGGTCCAATCGTGGCAGCTCGCCGGCGTACACGTTTTGCGAGCAGGATGGTAAAACGGCGTTCGAACGCGGCCGTGTGGACGGCCGTTGTTAGTGGTAATCCTGGGCATGCCATGCTGACCCAACAACGTATCATCGCATAGGTGAGACGGCTCTCAAGGCACGGTTGGTTAGATCGTAACGGACGCGGGGTTTCGGCGGTTAAAGTGTTTTTCCAAAGGTGTTAATCGGTTTCCCATTCACCAGTCACAGCACCAGACCCGACAGCAGCAAAGAGAAGGAGCCCCCAACGTAGAAAACGTTTTTGCAGAGTGTCCGCTTTCTCGTTCGAATTTGTCCGCATATACAATATACATATACAATAGATCCTCGCCTATACGTGTGCGCGTGTGAATGTGTGTGTATACTATATATATTATATATATATATGTACGTATGTAAGTATGTATCTCGATATATAAAAATATATATAAAATGTCGTACTACATCTATACGTTCCTTTCACCTTCTGAAATGATCCTCGCTATCTACAAAACTGTCGTCCGCCCCTCAAGATGCGGACGATTCTCGCGATAGAAGAGGGAAACGAAACAGCCATAGAGAACAGAGCAAGTAGGAGCAGAGTCGAGACGATTCGCAGGAGATCGTGCGCTCGATCCTCGAGGGAACGGGTTCGATTCCTTCTCGATCGGTTTCCCGCGCGCGCGCGCGTGTTAGTTCCTCGTTAGACGAGCACACCAGTGTTAACCAGCGTATCAGGCGTTCTCGATGCCACACAGTCTCAGCAATCGAACTCTCAAATAGGACTCGCAACACGAAGCGTATGCGAGCGACGTCCGTCGCAGAGAACCTGGCGCTCTCGCCTGACTGGTCAGATTCCAGGGCGCGCCTGATTGGCCGAGGCGCGAGCGCCCGCCAATCGAGTCGCGCGACGAGCAGTGGGGAGTCGACTGTCTCCGCCCCCGTGACGTCACGAGCGCCAGGTTCCCGGCAACGGACGGCACCGCGTTACAAAACGAGCGTTCCGCTCGGCCGCGTGGCGAGTCCTTTCGGCAACGTGTCTCGAACGAGGGTTACGAGTCTCGACGTGCAACACCATGGAAAAGCGTCCTCTCGGCGCCTGTTCGCCGGGTTAACCCATTCGCTGCCAATCGCGAGCACACTCGTGGAGGAAGGATTAGAAACTGCCGAGTGTCTTCGTGGGAAAAGTGTGTATCGGTGGAATGGAGTCTGTCGAGGATGTAACGCGGAGTTGCACGTGGCAGCGAATGCGTTCGAGTGAGGCTTGTCTTTGTTGTGGAGGAATGGGGATGCATAGAACGCTGGAAACTCTCATGGCAGTGAACGCGTTAACGCCGACCGGTGGTTAGAGCGTTACACGTTAGTAATACAGTCCAGCTATCTACTTTCGAGCTCGCAGACAAGGCCATCGTGGGACTCCTCTACGTCCGAGGTCGAATCGGCTTCGAACTATCAAGATCCACTCGTCAGTCTCCTAGTTGTCTTCCATGGGAGAATCGTTTGTTTCCAGAATTCTTTCTATGTAAACTCGCACACGAGCAGCGAACATCTTAACAATTGTCCTCGAGAAGCGAAGCTCGTCTGTCCTAGAAAGGAAGCAAACGTCGCGTCTCGAGAACAATCGTCTGAATCGAGTCTTTCTCGAGAACCTGGAAAGCTTCTGGAAGATCCACGACTTCCCACGGACGTGACAACCTAGGACGATCAATCATCAATCAACGATCAAGCTTCTCCCTCCAACTGATTCCTTTAGACAAATTCCTTTCCAATCGAACGTCTTTAGTTCCTCCCTTTTTCCTCTGATTTCTTGTCTCTACTTGTTTCGCCTATGTCTCTAGATTACATTCATCTCTGGCTTTCGGTAGAGAGCCGTGTCTAGGAATTTTTTTTTTAAACGTTGGGAAAAGTTCCTGGACACGGCTCTCTCCGGAAGCCAGAGATGAATGTAACACTCCAGGCCGTGGAAGCATCGAAATTAATATTCGGTCTCTGGATCAGCTGTTTCTCGGTTCCCGGAAGAGGAGACCCACGGACGTCCGTCGAAGCCAACAACTCAGATAATAAGTTCAGGCGAGGTGTCCCTACCTTCGTCGTCGCTGGAGTAGCTGTTGTATCGCGAGACGTTCGCGACGGTCCGGCGTCCGTCGGTGCTCTTGCTGCGGACGTGCGGACGGTGGCCGTCCTCGCGCCGCCTCGAGTGCCGGCCCTCCGCGACCGACGCCTCGTGCGCGGCCAGCTCGAGCAGAGCCTGTTGCTTGTAGTAGCTGGACAACTCGTTCTGAGCGCGGCCCCTGTTCGCCGAGCCCGACGGCTTTCGGGTCAACGGCGACTGCAGCATCCGCTGCTTCCATTCCAGCAGCCGCTTCATCGACTCCTCGCGCTGAAATTTTAACGGAACTTTCGCAATGGGGATCAGAGTTTGATTGGAGGGTGCAATTCTGGCTGGGAGATTTGACACGTTGAATGTCGTGGGTCAACGGTGACCCCCAAAGAAATGGAGTTACTATAGTTCGCTTAATTAAACGAACATTTGGAAACATTTCTATATCGGAAATAATGTTACCTAATTCATATAATGTTACCTAGCGAAGGTTGTTCTCGTATTATTACAACTATAGTTTCTGTTTGACAATGGTGAAACGAGAAATTTGAGTGGTTTTAACAGATTCGGTTGTTCCAGTTAATTAATAGTTCTTCAAACTTTAATTACTGATTTGTCACCGATTAATCGAGTGATGGAATCAAGTTGCTAGGAGAAATTAGATTTCTTTAGATAAATATAGAGAACATTATCTAACGATTATTATCGGAGTATTGATCATTGGAGTGTTACATTTATCAAAATCACCGATAAAACGTTATAGTGCATTCGAAGGTTAGTTCCAAGTTCATACTCGAGAAACACGGAATAGAAAGGTTCAATTCTCCGCGCGCGGCGAACGGGAATCGAATATTAAAACGGCGCCGATGGAGTCCTCGCATCGGACAAGTTCATTTCCGACGATACTCTAGGCACTTTGGATCGAGTTCAGCGCACTCCACGAATATCTTGCACGGGAAGGATCGCGGAATATTCCTCTGTTTCCTGATCCATTCCCAATTCTTCGATTAATTTTCTAATCCCATTTCCAAACGAAATTCCATAATCAAAATCAAAGATTGGATAAACTTAACCCTTATCAAACGCTAGTTTCATATATCTAATTCTCATTAACCCTTTGCACTCCAGAAGTTTTTCACCGGAAACATTCAATATTTTCTAATGAGATACAGACGACATCTTAGATTGAATTAAGAAATCTCACATGCATCGAGAACTATTTTCTTTCAATATTTCGTATATTGAAGCATTATACAAAGTTTAATATTAAATATCAAAGTTTACAGTTCCGCTGTGTCAAATCATTTGACTTAGAGCCTCTGGAGTGCAAAGGCTAAATTGCTTGGAAATAATCACAATAAGAAAATTGATATTATTATGATATTATAGGAAATATAGGCGTAACATATGCTCAGAATTCTTCTCTGTTAATGATTTATTGGGAACAGAGATTTCTTTCTCAACTCCGATCGATACGGCTACTTCGTTAATGATTTATTGGGAAAAAAGTAGCCGTATCGATCAGAGTCGGGAAATAAATCACAGGGGGTTAAACGTAATTTTAATAGAAACAAAGATTTATGCAACGCGGCGATGTCGGCTGAATGGATTCAAGGAAGGCCGAGCATTCGAATTCCGCCCACGTGTCCGGCGAAACACGAGGAAGTCGGTGCGCGCGACGCGTCGTGCGAAGAGTTTCAGAGCAGCCCGGCGTGGCCGCGAGCGATGACGACGTCGATGACGAACAGGATCGCGGCGAAAGCGGAATCACGGGGCGCGGACGTGACTGAAAATCCAGGCACGCCGTGGACGCGGTTTGCACCGAAAGATGAGTCATCGGGATCGACCGCGGTCCTCACGAATTATTCCGTCAGCGGCCGGACACGTTTCGGAGTTGCGCGAGGAAAACAGAGGACGTGAATCATCCGTGGGAAATACTGAACTGTGGACCGGTTAGTTGTTTGTTGGAGATCTCAGCGAAATAATAAGTAAAGTTATATATTGTTTGTGTTACGAGTGCCTCGAAATGAGAAGTGCGAGTGGTGTTTGTTTTAGGGTGGTTTTTGTGAACTGGTTTCGGATTGATTGAATATTAATGATACACATGTTAATGATATTGATTATTGTTGGTTATTAATATTAGTGACGGTGGTTTTTGGAGGTTTTTGCGAGCTGGTTTCGGAGTGATTGAATATTAATGATGTGTTGTTGATTATTAATGGCAGTGATGGTGCGAGCGGTGTTTGTTTTTGAAGGAGGTTTTCTTGATGTGACTTTGGAGTGATTAAACATTAATGATACGGTGTTAATGATATTGATTACTGTTGATTATTAATATTACTGACGGTGGTAGTGGTGTTCGTTTGTTTTTTAGAAAGGTTTTTCAGAACTGGTTTCGAAGTGATTGAATATTAATCATACGGTGTATTTGATTACTAATGTTAGTGATGGTGCAATTAGTGTTAGTTTTCGAGGGAGATTTTTGTAAAGAGGTTTTGGAGTAATTAAATATTAATGATACGGTGTTGTTAATGATATTAATTATTGTGGACCATTAATATTGATAGTAGCCTGTTTTGAGTTCTACAGGCAAGTTTTTCTGAAAGGTTTCGATTAATTAAATATTAATATGACGGTGTTAGTAATGATGTCAATTATTCCTGATTATTAACATTAGTAACAATAGTATTGAACTACCATTGGCACGTAAAAGGCGATAGTAAAATAAGGAATGCTTTCCCGAACGTTTTATAAGACAACGCTATCGAGCTGCTACCATCTCAGCCGTCTGGCTAATAAATCTATGTCACTCCGTCAGTTATCTACTAATTTCAATTAACCCGGCCGCTCCAGGGTTCCCCGGTCCAAGTGTCAATTACGTTAACGAGACAACTTTCTCAACATAATGGAACAGTCGGATGACCTTGCGGGACAAGTGACAGACATTCTTATCGCTCGCGATCGAGGGGGACCGAAATGAGACTGTCTGCTAACAGGTAAACCCGACAATTCACTTGTTAGTCATTTGCTCAGTTCGTCAGGTATACTTTTAAGGCGGATCATAAGGAAGTCGTTACAAAACTACACGGTCTATTTTATCATTAACATCTAAAATATACAGACAAACGAAGAAAATGATAGATTCAAAAAACATTTACTAAATAATGTTTATGAAATTCAATGCGCGTCGAATTGACGCGTTCCGTAAATCTACTGTTAACACGTTGACGCCGGCGTGACCCACCGGTGGCTCACACACGCCTTTTTTTAAACGGGGTCTCAAAAAGCGCCGACGTCAACGTGTTAATCCAGTGATCGCGATAGGCGGAAAGGCAGAAGAAGAAGATCCTGAGGGTAAAGTTCACGAACCTGCTGGATCTTGCGTTCACCGTTAGATTTGTTTTTGTCGGAACATGAATATTTTCAGTGAAAAACTTTCGAGTGCGAAGGGTTAATCCAGTGATCGCGATAGGCGGAGAGACAGAAGAAGAAGAGGATCCTGAGGGTAAAGTTCACGAACCTGCTGGATCTTGCGTTCACCGTCCCTCGAGTCCTGCTCGGAGGATCGTTCGCCGTAGTCGTCGTCGTCGGGGTCGAGGGCTGCAGGGTGGCGGGTCCTCGGTAGCCGCGCGGACGCGGACCTGCAGAATTGTTGCTGCTGCTCGTTCCATCGCCTGGCGGAGGCACGAGGCGCGTGACACGTCTGCGCCACGTGAGTCCCTTGGCTCGTGTGGCTCGATGGCCTGCCCCACCCCTCGTACTCCCGTGGAATTCGCCGCGGGACCGTGCCGTCCTCTATGTGGCCCAGCAGCTCCCGGCTGCTCGACTCGTAGCTCTTCTCTCGCAAGGACCTCCGCAGCTTCGCCTCGCTGCTGGTCACTCTGATCGCGAAATAGAAGATCAAACATCATCGTGACGTTGACAGCGGAAGACAAGGTTTTCGAGGCATTGAAAGGCTTCAGTGAGAATTTGGGTGAAATGTATAGTCGAAGTGGAAGAGGATTTGTATTTTATCAGATCTATTCTTGGTGACGTATTTGTCAATAGAAGGAAATTGAACAGACAGTGACTAATCACAGTAAAATTGAAAGTCTTTATTGAGAATTTGGATGAAATGTATAGTTAGTTGGAGTGGAAGAGGATTTGTATTTTATCAGATCTATTCTTGGTAACGTATTTGTCAATATGATGAGAAGGAAATTGTATAGACAGTGACTAATCGCAGTAAAATAGTTACTACAAATTAATCATAAAGTAGAACCTCTCTTGCCTCTATCAAGCATTCACCGATCACTTTCGCAATCTTCTCTACATGATTTTGTACCATTGTTACTCAGTAGCAATCTTTTGTTCCTTCACCATACCATTGCACGCTTACTTCGATCGAGCGCGTGCCCTTGGAATTCTAATAAAGCCGCGCCTAACACGGCGCTGGCAGTGCCACCAGCGATACACACCGATAAAAGACAACTAATAGATTCTTAAACACGACAGTTGTGAAAAGGCGAATATAAATAATTCAGGGCTGAAAGGGTTAAAAGGAAATATAGGCATAACACATGCTTAGAATTTTTCTCTCCTTCCAATAAATTAATATATCGATCAGAATTCAGGAAGAGATCATAGGCCATGGGGTTAAGAAAAATTATAATTTAATCATCAAAAACTTCATTCCAATATACTCCCATAGAGAACAGCATTGTCAGAACTCTGCCATATAAAAAATAGCCCTATGTAAAATTCAGCCGTGCCTAAGAGGCTAACCTAAGAGGCTACCCTAGGAAGTTAACCTAAATCTAAGAAACTGAATCGAAGTGTTGTAAAATTCCGGTGAAAACAGGCTCGGGCACACGTGTCCCAGAATCGAACAAGCGAGAAGGAAGGGATCGACTCACTCGGTGTGCCTCTGGAGCGATTGATGCGACATCACGTGCTGCTGATGAACGTGTTCGCGCTGTCCGCGCCTCAGCCCGGAGCAAGAAGCCTCCGGCAGCGTTGCTATTCTACTTTCGTCGGCTCTCTCGCGGATCCCCGTTACTTTCGGCGGCATTGTCGCCCGGGACAGCGATTGGTTCCTTTGTTGCTGGTGGTGCTGCGGCGCCTGGTGGAGATAAACCGCCGACTGCCGCATCTGCGCCGCGTATCTGATCGCAACAAATCCCGAATAACGTCGACCACTCCCGGACAAAAGCGTGAGATGTCTCGGGAAACCTCGAGATAGCTTCGCGAATCGCGAGGTATCGGTTAGCGGGTGAAAGGGAGAGGAGAGAAATGGATTCTTTACCGTTCTTCGGAATAAAAGTAACCGTCGCTGGCCGTGTCCGACGGCGTGACGATGTCCAAGCTCGATTTAGGCCTCTGCGGACGCCTCTGCTGGCTGAACGTCTCGTCGCAGTGCGTTGGCATTTGCTGCTGTGGCCTCCTGGTCGCTTCGTATTCGAGGAAGTCGGCGCTGTGTGGCCTTGGCGGGGGCTGCGCTCTGGGCTGCCTCATCACGGCTACTGTGAGAGAAATGCATCGTGAACGATTCATCGATGGGGAGATTCTAGGTGGATGGAGAGTACTGTTTTGGGGAGTGTGGTATTGGAAAGTATTGTGTTGGGAAGTGTTGTCTTTGGGAGGGTAGTTTTTGGGAGTATGGTTCTTAGGAACCTCAGTCCTTGTGAATGATAGTCCTTGGGATATGGTATTTGGGAACTATAGTCTTTGAGAACTGTAGTCGTTGGGGACTGTAGTCTTTGGGGAATATGGTCGTTGGGGACTGTAGTCTTTAGGGAATATGGTCGTTGGGGACTGTAGTCTTTAGGGAATATAGTCTTTAGAAACTACAGTCCTTGGGAATTATGGTCCTAGGGAACTATAGTCCTTAGGAACTATAGTTCTTGGGAACTATAGTCCTTAGGAACTATAGTTCTTGGGAACTATAGTCCTTAGGAACTATAGTTCTTGGGAACTATTGTCCTTAAGAACTGTAGTCCTTAGGAACTATTGTCCTTAAGAACTGTAGTCCTTAGGAACTATAGTCCTTGGGAACTATGGTCCTTGGGAAATTTAGTCCTTGGGGACTGTAGTCTTTAGGGACTATTGTCCTTAAGAACTGTAGTCTTTAGGAACTACAGTCCTTGGGAATTATGGTCCAATGGAAATATAGTACTTAGGAGCTATAGTCCTTGGGAAATATAGTTCTTGGAAACTATGGTCCTTAGAAACTACAGTCCTTAGAAACTATAGTCCTTGAGGACTCTAGTCCTCAGAAACTATAGTCCTTAGGAACCATAGTTCTCAGTAACTCTAGTCCTCAAGGACTACTATTCGCCAACTACACATCTCAATAGCAATAGTCCTCAGGAAACACAGCCTTTACTAACTACATTCCTCAAGAACTTATCAACAAAAATTACTTATCAACAACAAACCCTCCAAACCCAAAACGAAATAAAAAAACCACCATTCATCCCCACAAAGTACTAACAATTAGCAGCTGGCGAGTGCATCTGCTGCTGATGCTGATACTGCTGATGCTGTTGAGCATAGAGCGGTATAGGAATAGGCGCCGGAGAGGCTCCCTTGGAGTAGCCCACAGGCCCAGCGGGTCTCTGGTACAGCTGTGGCGCGCCGTAGACCTCCTCGTAGTCCCCGTTTCCCCTTCCGGAAGACCTGGGCTTAGCGGCGCTGCGGCCATAAGTGTCCGGCGTGCGTCTCTCGTTCTGCGGCTGCGTGTAGCCGTAAGTCAGTCCGGACTTGTCCGTGCGCAGGTTCTGCTGAGCTGGCTGGCTGCCGATCCTCGTCCCGTAGATGACGCTGCCGCGGTCGTAGTCGGACATCGGGCTCTTGCTGGTCATAGTGACGTCGGGCGAGACGGGGGACTTCCGGTAGTCGGGGTCAGGCGACGGGGTCGAGTACTCGGTGGAGCCGTCGGTCAGCCTGCGCGGCTTGGGCGGCGCGTTCGCGTAGATCGGCTGGCCGAACTTCCTGGGCATCGGCTGGACGGTCTGCACCGTGACCGGGGACTGGGCCTGCTGCTGCTGCAGCTTGTGCTGGTGGGCCTGGTGGGCCTGCCCCGCGTTCTGCAGCGGAATGTGCTGGTGCAGCATGGCTTGGTGAGGGTAGACCTGTTGCATCTGCTGGCCAGGCTGCATCAGCTGGCCGTACTGCTGCGACGTGCTCGATTGATTATACTGCTGCTGTTGTTGCTGCTGTTGTTGCTGTTGCTGGATCCAACCGTTCACCATCGGCTGCACCTCGTTCGCGTTGTTGTTCGCCGCGTTCGCCACGTTGCTGTTCGCGTTGTTGTTCCCGTTGTTCGTGTTCGTGTTGCCGTTGCTGCCGCTCAGGTTCGGGAAGGACGCCGTGTTCACGCTGTTCGGGCTGGAGTTGTTGTTCGAGGCGTGGCTCGGCTCGTCCCGGGACTGGAACCCGTGGAAACCCGAGTCGCTGTCGTCCGCGCTCTGGTTCAGGATCGACGAGATCGAGGACACGCTCGGCCGAGCGCTGCGCTCGCCGTCCTGCTGCCCGGCTATCTCGATCACCACTGCTGCCTCGCCCGCTCCGCTGAAACCGATTTCGAGTTTACAAGCTTCTGAGTATTAGGGTGATTAACACATGAGTGCCACGGTGGTTATCGATGACCGGAGCTTCCAAATTACTCGAGAACAATTATAATTCATATGATATAACATTCATTGTACCTTATAATCGGCAGTTCGCTCTCAAAATCAACGTTTAACCGCTGAACTTTTCTTTATAGACTCTACTTTCGAGAATTTTCATTGATTACAACCCTTTTCTACTTTTCTCCGCTTCTGTTCATTGCTTTAATTACTACTCAGGAATTCCCATTTTCTAGAACGTTATTCTACGTTTCTCCACTCCGGTTTATTCTATTTCGATCGAGAATTTTCATATTTTCAAACGTTCCTCCAACGAAGACTTAACCCTTTGCACTCTGTAGGCTCCACTATGACACCATTTATACTATTAAATATAGTAATGAATAAATTTAGAATTACATTAAGATTACTGAATCTTCTATGCATCCAAATTTTGTACTAAGAAGGAAAGTAAAGGAATCTAAGAGATGTTACAATATAACATTCTTCATGTGCTAGGCGTACTATAAAAACGGCTTGGAGTTGGTAGATTACAAAATAATCTGCTAAGGGTTAACCCTTTGAACTCTGTAGGCTCCAATATTGCACCACACTATTAAATATACTAATGAATAAATTTAGAAGAATTATCCTAAGATCACTGTATCTTCTGGATTCTATGCATCCAAATTTTGTACTAAGAAGGAAGACAAAGAAATCTAAGAGATATTACAATATAACATTCCTCATGTGCTAGGCGTACTATAAAAACAGCTTGGAGTTGGAGGATTACAAAATCATCTTCTAAGGGTTAACAAGTATTTATCTACCAAGCAAGACCGACCAGCATCGAACGAAACGCGAAACCCGCCTCCGGGAGGCCAAGCTAGCTGCTCGAAGCGTCGCGGCAGGACGCAGGTCCCCATCTCGCGCGTAATCGCGGTGCAACTACGCGAACTCGTTAGTTTGCTTTCTGGAAGTTAGCCCCAGATAAACGGCGTACTGGAAAGTGGGGGGACACGCGAAACCGTGGCGCGTCCTCCTCGGGCGTTGTTCCGTCGAAAAATTACGGAACGCTCGTTTCCAGTTTCTCGTATCCGCCGCTCGCGAGTTTTCCTTCTGTCCGCAGGCCCGCGCCGCGGTTTCCAGTTCGGCCGAGTTCTCAAAGCTAATGACTCCGCCCGGTCGAAAACGCGACGCGAGGAACTCGTGCCCGCCTACCCTTATTTGCGGACTGGTTTTTCGGATTAACTCGGGACGAGCCCCGACACGCGTGTCCGCCGGGCCGGCCGCGGAGTTCGTTAGATAAGCATGGAAGTATTTTGTACGGGAAGCTCGCGATCGCGTGCAACTGAAGCTGCGGCAGCGCCGGGGATCAAACTTTCTTATTTTTCTTCTTGTTGCGCTCTGCGCTTTGCTGCGGCTACCCGAAATGTATTCGGGAGTGGGAGATCGCACGGAATTGGATTACGGTGAATTAATACAGGGTTTCTTGTGTTTTTGGGACATTCGGGGGTGGAAGATGATGTAGAGTTGAATTATGATAAATGAATACGAGGTATTTTGTCTTTGTGAGACATTTGGGGGTGGAAAATTGTACAGAGTTGAATTATAATAAATGAATGTTAGAGTTCCTTGAGTTTTTGGGGCATTTGGGGTTGAAAGATGGTACAGAATTAAATTAGAATAAATGAATTTTGGGGTTTCTTGCGTTTTTGGTGTATTTGGGGATGGAAAATTGTACAGAATTGAATTATAATAAATGAATTCGGTTTCTTTTTGCATTTTTGGGGCATTTGGGGATGGAAAATTGCACAGAATTGAATTACAATAAATGAATTCGGGGTTTTTTGCGTTTGTGAGACATTTGAGGGTGGGAAATTGTACAGAGTTGAATTACAACTGCATTCAGGATTTCCATTCATTTACGAGAAACGTGAGAGAGAGAGAGTACAGAGTCGGATTACCCAGCTTTTTAAAACTTTCATTAGAAACGAGGACCTTCCACTGTAATTTCACTATTACCATTATACTCTCGAATTTATATAAATTCTCTCGACGATCCACAGTTCAATGAAAAGAATACTAACCCCAGATACCTAAACATTCCTCTAAACATCCACCAACACTACAAACCTTAATTCCCTACGCTCTCCTACTCCCTAATCAAATTCCAATAACACACCTCTCAAACCACCCTCCTGCCACCCAACAAACAAAATACAAAAGCACCCACAATCCATAATCCACAATCCAAATGTTCAACTACACTAACCCTAATTAAACCTTATTCACCCAGAGGTAAACAACACTCCCATTAACCCTTTGCACTCCAAGAGTTCTCTACCAAAAATACCCAACACTCTGCGATGAAATATAGTTAACATTTCTTGAAACTGGCTTCACGAGAAATCGTACATAAGTTGAGTTAATAATAAGTTCACATATTAATGCATCTCAGGAAACTTAACATTAAACATTATACTCCATAATTTTTCAGTGCCAAATCGAACGTTAAAACTGCGGAGCACAGGGAACTCCAATACGAGCGAGTTCCATTATCGACCAGCACTCCGCTGCACCCAATCGCTCACAAGAATAATCAAAGCACGTTCTTATTAAAATTTCATACGACTATAAATCCTCTCGCGCGCACGGCCAAGGAAATTCCCTTATCGATCCGACACCGACCGGTCTATCGCGACGCTGCGATCTCTGTCTCGCTCGTCCTCCCACGCAAAGAGGCAAAGAGACTCGTTGCGCCAGGAAACGAAACGATGTTCGCAGCGAAACAATTAGGATCGCGGCGCCGGGAGATGAGAAATGGGCGGGGGATATCGTTGCGCCGATACGGGCGCTGATGAGCAGCGCGGCTCAAAGAAACGGCACCCGTAGAATAGCGAATAAATGGAGACCGGACGCAAAGAAATCCCGGCGATGCGAGATAAATGATCGCACGCGGACTATCCTCGACAATGGCGCCACGGGATTAGCCCGCGTTACCACCCCCGGCTAATTGAACTTCGATCGAATCGGATCCAGGATATCGATTATATTATTTGATCTAAATAAGAATCCAATCCACATTTATTTCAAAATTGTTTTCAACCTTCTACTAGTAATATTAGCATTGTCTAGATAGAGTCTCTAAAATCTCAGAACAGCGAGAGACCATTTAATATTTTCAAAGCGAAAATAAGATCAAATAATATAATTTTCGCTTTGAAAATATTAAATGGCCTCTCTTGCTGTTCTGAGATTTTAGAGACGCTTTCTAGACAATGTTAGTGTTACTAGTAGAGGGTTGAAAACAATTTTTTAATGCGGACTGGATTCTTATTTCAATCCAATTCACTCTGCAACGTGATTCGTCTCGGTTTAGCAAAGCAATCGATATCAGAAGCAATTATTTAATTTTCCTCGGTCTATTAGAACAATCGCGATCAGAAGCACTTATTGAATTTTCCTCGGTTTATTAGAACAATCGAGATCAGACGAAGTTTTATTGAATTTTCCTCGGTCTATTAAAACAAAGAAAATCGAAAGCAATTTTATTGAATTTTCCTCGGTCGATTAGACAATCGAGATCACAATTTTACTAAATTTTCCTAAGAACGTAGCGATAGAAGATTGAAGAATAAGGGATTAGAATTACTCACGGACTAGGATCCTGAAGCAGAGTCGCCAGAGTCAACGCGTTCACCCATTGGTTCATGCTTTCGCGGCTGTCCGCCGCGAAATGGTAGGTCCTCATGTTCGCGTGTTCCGCTTTGAACGCGAACTTCCTGTTAACCTTGTCCTCGGGCTTGCAGACGGTGACCCGGTACGACGGAAGCAGTATCGAGCCGAGCAGCTTCTCTTCTTCCGGGCCTGAAAGCAGATTATCAACATCATCAATTACAATACTATAAAGAACTGATTTATAATATTTTGAACGACGATACTTTGATAATATTCATAATATTTTGAACGCAAAATATTAACACATGTGAGGATAGTAAAAATGTTGAGTAGCAAAAATAGAAATGCAGACGTCGTACCTCGAAGGTTAAAGTGCATAATAATTTAAAAAAAATTGATGCTATATAAAATTAATTTTCCTGACAATGTGGCTTATGAATTTCAATGTTATAGCATTCATGTAGTTTTTCATTGCGTGAATTATTATTATTATTATATTATTCGTTACATGTTGAGATCAATAAAGGTTCAACGTGTAATCTAATTTTTAGGAAACGTCTCTTAATCAATCACGGAATGATATTAATTGTTACAATTGCGAAGAACTCCGATTTTTCATCGGGAACGCGAAAGAGACAGCGAGGGAAGGAGCTATCGGAGCCGCGCGAGTAAACGTGTCGATCGCAGAAACCCGGCCAGGATTGACGTCCAACGATGAAAAAGAGGGAAAGAGCACACGATTGATGGATTTTCTATAACGCACAGGTCCTGCGAACGTCAGCCGCCTTTTCATCGTGATCACGGGACGCCCTTGTTCCCCGTGAAACTGTACAGTGTCAATATGGCGGCGCTATCTCTTTTTTCTAGATACAGTTTTACGATCGAGAGAAATGATAAGTACTTATGATTCTCTATAGTATATATATTCAACGAAATACATTAACTTGCAAGGATAATCCATATTTTTTAACATCTATATATTTACTATAAAGCATCATTTATTGTAAATCAACCGGAGAGATACCTTTAACCCTTTGTACTCGACAATATTTCTCATTACAAGCATATATATACAGGGCGCCCGAAAATTAAAAAATTAAAAACATGTCATCTCATAAAAATAAATTGAATATTCCTAGTGACAAATGTTTCGAGTGCAAAGGGTTATTCTGAAACAAGCCATCGATCTCTATGGTTCCAAGGCGATGCTACCTAAAACACCATTGTTCCCCTTATTTTGTGAACACCTCTCCCGTTAAGTTAATTGAAAAAACTGTCACCTAGTGACAAATCTTCCGAGTGCAAAGTGTTACTAAACTAAACAATCATCGTCCTTCTATTCAATAAAATCCTGACCCTCCCGAACTTCCGCTCGCACCCCCTAAAAATCAAATTGCAGCGGCTGCACGTTGGAAAACACAGATACACAGAGCGTCGCACCGCGTCGTATTCAGTTCTATCGCGAGATCGTTTGAAAAGGGGCACTCGGTTTCATTTCCGTTGCGAGTTGGTTCTTGCTCGATTCATCCTTCGAATTAACGTGCTCGGGGACAAGATCCCGGGGACACGAGGGGACGAAGGCGGGGAAAAAAAAGGAGACCATCCTCGGTCCCGTTCAAAGCCGGTTTTGCACGGGTGTATCCGCATTCTGCGCGCGACAATGCGCGCACTCGCGGTAATCGACCATTCGCCGCGCGTCTATTCGAGAGAGACTCCGGCCGCCGGGTCTTTGGCGTCAAACGTTTCCGGGAAGATCGTTTTGTCTGGGCCTCCGGTGCGCGCCTCCGTTCCGGCCGGCGAGGCAGACTGTTCCCTCGCCGGGGAGCGGGGACGGAGAGGGTCGACGCACGCACGTACGCTCTCTCGTTCATTAACGAGGAACATTCATCCGCGGCTTCCCGCCGCGAAATCCGCGCGTGAAAGGAACGCGAAAGTGCTCGCGAACAAGCCGCGGGAATGGTAAGTGTCCGTTTCTCGGGAAATTATCGCGAGATGCTCTCGGAGGCGTCTCCCGAGAGTGGATGGGAGGATTTGGATGGTGTTGAGGATGTTGTTGGTGATGTTGGTTGGGTTGGTGATGGGTATTGGGGGGTTAGTGGTGATGGTGGTGGTATTGGTATTGGGGATACTGAGGGTGTTTGTGTTCTTGATGGTATGGATACTATAGATACTATTGATACTACTGATAGGGTAGATGTAAATACTAGAGATAGTACTGGTGCTATTGATTCTTTTGATACTGTAGATACTAAGGATATGATGGATATTTATATTCTTGATGCTATAGATACTATTGATACTATAGATACTACTGATGCTATTCATAGTATAGATGATGTGGATACTAGAGATGTTAGTGGTGATATTGGTGGTATTGATACTATGGATACTAAGGGTATTTATGTTCTTGATGGTATAGATACTGTAGATACTATAGATACTACTGATGTTATTGATACTATTGATAAGATAGATGATGTGGATACTAGAGATATTACTAGTGCTATCGACTCTTTTGATACTGTAGATACTAAGGATATGATGGATATTTGTATTCTTGATGCTATAGATACTATAGATACTACTGATACCATTGATACTATTGATAGGATAGATGATGTGGATACTAGAGATATTACTGGTGATGTTGGTAGTATTGATACTGTAGATACTAAAGGTATGATGGGTATTTATATTCTTGATACTATTGATACTATTGTCGTCATTAATTTCATTGATATTATTCACACTATCCGTGCTATTGGTGCCATTAGTAATACAAATACTATTGATTCTGTTCACACCATTAATACTAGAGACACTACACCAAACATACTATAAAATATAGACTATACTCTAACAAAACCATTGTTCATATCTCAACAAACATTCCCCTTTTTCAAAGAAATCGAAAACAAGTCAGTCCACCTCTCCACGATAGCAAGTAGAAAAGGTCCGCGACTAGTCAGACGCGGCGAAAGCCGCCGTCACTGAACTCCAGCCGCCCGTCCCGGCGTCGGAGTCCAAAGTAGCCGATTCGGTTTCGATCGTCGGTACCTCGGGCATCTCGAAGACGCAGGAAATCGCGACAGGCGTCCGACGAATCGTAAATGTTCGAGCTCGAACGATTCCGACAGCCGCGGCGTCCATTGACGCGCGTTAGATATCGCCCGGCGACGGTTTCTCCGCCCGGGGCCGGGCATAAATCACGCCGAACCGCGGACAGGGGAAAAAGAAGGCGGCAAAAAGTGCCATAAATTTCGCGCCGGACGTCCGAATGAACACGTAGGACAACCGGCGTCGAAAGAGCCAAGAACGAGGCTCGGTTTAATCGCCCCCGGAACTGAACTACCGAGTCGTCCCTTTTCACTCCTCTCGCGAACCACTCGGCCCTCCTCCGGCGAACCGAGCGAAAAGAACAGTTCGCGTGGATATTGATAATTTTGGAACGATACCAGCGACTGTAGATTTCGTTCGTCTTCGGTTTGGAATTCTCTGTTGTATAGCGTTCATTCGTTGTTGCGTACCGAGAGGCTGTTAATCTACTTTGATTTAGTATAGTTTCTTTCAGTGGAACTCGATTTAATTCAGCTAGTCTGATTTAATTAAGGCAGATTTAGTTTGGATTACTTCTATTTCATTTAACTGAATTTTTGTTTGATTCAATTTTGTAAAGTTCGATTCTATTCAGTTCAACTTGATCTAATTTAATTCAACTCAATGCAGTTTAATTCGACTTAACCCGATTGACTCATTCTAACTCAATTAGTGTAAGTTTACTTTGACTTAACTTTATTTCCATTCGATTCAACTTTATACAATATAATCTGGTTCGATTCGGTTCAGCTTGATCTACTTTAATTCAACTCAATGCAATTTAATTTCACTTAATTCAATTGACACATTCTAACTCAATTAATGCAAACCTATTTCGACTTAACTTTATTTCCATTCGATTCAACTTTATACGATATAATCTAGTTCGATTCAATTCAAATTGATCTAATTTAATGTAACGCAATGCAATTTAATTCATTTCACTCGCTAATTTCATTCACATGTCCACCAACAACTATCGAAAACTACAGAAACACGTCAGAAGCAGACGAAATTAGCTAGAAAATACTAGGGAATCGCTTAATCGTTCGCAGAAAGCATCAGCAGGGCGCGCGTGCCGATAAGAGGATCGCAATGGAATTAACAATTTTTCATTCTCGTCCGGCCGGCCGCGGGTAAGGACTTTGGCACAGCTTCAACCCTCATCTCGCTGCTCCCGTT